TGTATGAGCTGAATTTCCAGATCTTCCTGATGTTGGCAACTATGGACTTCAATCATTAGTCAATGACGGTAATTTACATATTGGAATGGAGTTCGCATCGAAGGAGGAAGCAATGATGGCAATAAAGAGTTACAATATTCGTAACTCAGTTAAGTCCCGAGTTGATCGATCTAACACGGAGAAATATGTCTGCTACTGTGTCCAACGTGACAACGGATGTCAATGGATGGTCCGTGTATCAAAGAGGAAGAGGAAGAACAACTTATGGGAACTAACCAGATACAACGTCCTCATACATGTTGTGCAACAGGTATAAACCAGGATCATCCCAACTTGGACTCCAACATTATTTGTCAAGCAATCATGCCCATTGTGAAGCAAAGGTCTCATATAGCTGTTGCAGTGTTGATTTCTGCTATACAGTCACAATATGGGTACACTGTCTCATATAAAAAAGCGTGGTTGGCAAAACAGAATGCCATTTGCAAACTTCATGGCGAATGAGATTCCTCTTACAACGAGCTGCCCAGTTGGTTTCATGTTGTGCAAAACTTAATCACGGGACAATTGTTGAGTTCGAAACTCAACATCATTACGTGAATGATCGAATGGTTCGCGATCGCTGCCAATTTTACCGTTTCTTTTGGACTTACCCTCAGTGTATTAATGCAGTCAAGTACTGTAAACCAGTTGTCCAAATTGATGGTACTTTCTTGTATGTGAAATACAAGCAAGTTTTATTATTGGTTGTGGTCCAAGATGAAAACCGCAATATTCTTCCTGTTGCGTTTGCCCTCGTTCAAGGAGAAGACACTGAGTCTTGGGCTTTTTTCCTTAAAAATTTACGTTTACATGTTGTCACCAGGGAACGAGTATGCATTATTTCAGACCGAGGAGCCGGGATAAAAGCAGCAATGGACTCTTTGGGTACAATGTATAGACCTCCATATGTTCAACATCGTTATTGTGTCCGTCATATTGCTGCAAACTATTACGGAAAATACAAGAAGAACGATGAACGTCAGTTAGTCGTGCGGATGGGTATGTTACTTTTCCCCAATTTTTCTATCAATTTCTTATTACTTATTTATACTTTATATTAACTATTACATATTCCTAATGGCTTAGGTTACGAACTCTTACCTCAAAGGTTTGAGTCGATGCTACAAGAGCTGTTTGGCAAAAATAAGAAGGGGTGCGAGTACATTATGGACATCAACAAAGAAATGTGGACAAATGCATATGACGGGGGGTATCGCTATGGTCATATGACAACAAACTTGGCTGAAGCAATAAATTCAACCTTAAAGGGGGCGTGTCATTTACCAGTCACGGCGTTGGTTAAAACGACTTATTTTCGTTTGGGTCAACTCTTTGCAAAGCTCGGTGGACAAGCTCTTACTTGGATGCAAAACGGACATATTTACCACCCAAGACTAGTAGTTGATTTACAGAAAAAAGTGGTGCATCAAATGGGATGTTAGTTACAAATTTTTCTCGCACCCGTGAATTGTTTCGTGTAACCGAAATGCCACGTCCGCTGCAAGGGATTGAAGCTAACTCTTTCAGAGTTAATATGCAAGAGAGGTGGTGCGATTGTGGTTTCTTTCAAGCACTCAAATATCCATGCTCTCATGTCATTGCTGCTTGCTCATATTCGCATTTGGAGTACAAAAATTATGTTGATCCCGTATACCAACTTTCACAAGTATTCAAGGTACATGAATTTGAGTTTCCGCCCATAGGAAACGAAAGAGACCCAAATGAGATTCAAACTTGGCTTACAATTATACCAGATCCATTGCTATTGAGGGACTCAGGTCGTCCAAAATCTACTAGAATACATTGTGATATGGATATTCGGGAGAAGTCAACAGAACAAAAACGATGTGGGCATTGTAGAAACATCGGGCACAATAGAAAAAAATGTACAGCTCTGTTATCATCATATAACCGTTAACTCTTATGTAATTAATATTGTATTTAAATGGATGTTTTTGTTTCTAATAATTTAATGTTATTGCATTTATATAATTTGTCAATGTATGTACACCTAAATAATTTTTTTAACTTTTAAATACATAAATATTTTTAATATATTTATTTAATATAATAATTAATATTATTAGTTATAATTTTTTTTAAAATATAATAATAATTTCACCTTCTAAGTAGAGAAAAATATTAAATTAAACAAATTAAAAGTTATTAAAAAATTTATGTATACGATGACACATTTCATGTTCTGATTGGAGGATTAAATTTATTAAATTAAATTTTCAATAAGACTAATTTCATAAAATATGTAAGTCTTGAAGATTAAATATGTAATTATACTAATTAATTAACTTATGCATCAATATTTTCGTTAAATTTGATATGAGATGACTAGATTGATAACATTTAAATAATTAACTGATAAAATTTATATATCGATAATCAAAATCAAAAATAATAATATAACCATATGTGTAATATTATAATTTCATACATTTTTCTTATAACTACAATAAAGTCAAAACTGGTTTTCATATATTGTTATATCATATTAATGTAGATAATTCACTCCACCTTTAACACACATTAACAAAATACATTTGATAATTCTTACATTATAATCGAAATATTTTACATAATATATTATTAATTTATAATAATAATTAAATAAAATAAAATATTTATTATTAAACAAAATACGTGGCAGTCAAGCTGGCGAAAGGCGCGTTCCCGGGAATGCGTCTTCCACACGTGGCATCCAACTCAGCGAAAACACAGGTAAAGCGCGTCCCTGGAGACGCGCCTTTCGCCAGCTCAACAGAAAGAGTGCTACTTCGAGAAATATTGGTCAAACGATGTTAGAAAGAGAATATTAAAAAAAATTAGTGTGTCAAATAGCTGAAAAATAATGACCTAATAGAAACAAGAAAAAACCAAGTCCAACGGAAGTACCCAATTTCACGACCTACTCTCCTATAAAAGAAGACGATCCAATAATCACCATAACCAATGCAAAATCACCACAAAAAAAAAAGAATGAACAACGTTTCTCTCCATCTTCTTATGCTTCTTCTCACAATCTCACTTCCAGCAATCAAATGTAACAATGATCTGATAGATCAAATTTGCAAGAAAACACCCAAAACACAGACACCAAAGGCCTGGCCGGTGTGATGGCCGGCATTCTTTTATCGAACGCGACCGACACGTTGAGTTACATTCGAGGTCAGATCAGCGAGACGCGGACCCTCAGATGGAGAGAGCATTGGCTTATTGCGCGGAGCTTTATATTCCGGTGGTGAAGTACAATTTGCCGCAGGCCATCGAAGCTTTGAGCAAAGGGCGGTTCGAGTTCGCGAGCGACGGGATATCGGACGCCGCGAAACAAGCCGATGCTTGCGAGAAGAAGTTATCGGGGTCGGTGAAGCTGTCGCCGTTGAGTGAGAGGAACAAGCTGCTTCATAGCTTGTCTGATGTGGCTTCGCCATTGTTGTTGCTCAAAGGGTTGATCAAATAAGTACTGTTGGGTTTTTTAAATAATATTTTTTATTCGAACCCTTTGCGTGCTTTCGTTTTCTGGCTGTGAACTTTCCTTGTATTTTTAATTCTCTTGGGCTGGAAGTGTTTGTACTTCGAGGGTTCTGAGACAGTGTTCCAATTTTCGACCACAGAATTAGCATCTCTTGTTTCTGCTTCTTCTTCTTCTTCTTCTTGGGTTATTATATCGTTTTAATATTTAAATCTGAATTTGTTATTTACATCTTTTATTCAAATATTATATAAAAATTATTTTTTAAAATATTATCCAATGAATATCGAATAGATATCATTTTGATTAAAGCGATCATATCTGATGCCTCTTTTCAAAAATATTTTTAATAAAAATTAATCAAAACTTTTAAAGATTAGATCAAAATGAATAAAAGAAAAAATGTGTAAAAATTTAAAAAAAATAGAAATTTTATTTCAGAATAATAAATGTACATAGTGCGTGATAAAATATATATTTACATGAGCACGAGCAGAATGATAACATGTATATGTCTTATCTTCAACCAAATAATAAATACATGTTTAAAAGATTATATTCAAATACTTGAAAAATATCATTTTTAAATAATATAATGCTTGAAAAACTCATGACTAAATATATTGATTTTGAGATGTAAAAGTTCAATTTCGAATAAATAAAAACTAATTGATTTAGTGTAATAAGACACTTGAGCTATTAAGTACGATTAAAGATTCAAATTCTTACATTGTGAATGACACGAACCAAGTGACCTTAATAGTTAAAATATTGTTGTTATTTCTTGAGATTCAAGGTTTGAGCATATATATATATATATATATTCTTAATTCTATATTAATTGATAAATCAAACTTTTATCGTTAAATAAGAGAAAAAAAGCCTAAATTTGATCAAATACATATTAATACGACGGTAAAAAATATATACATTTTATATTGTGATCTCAGTTATTTAAGAATAATAACTACCAGAGTTTAAAATATCTATTTAATTATCATTTTTATTAATACTTTTCAAAAATCTCATATTATTTATATATATATTTAAAAGTTCAAATATAATTCTTCAAATATGCAATATTGAGGTATTTTTTACATTTATATATTTTAAATAATCAAATCATAGATTTGAATCTAAATTATTCAGATCAATGTTGAAATCATATGAGAGATTGTCAGGTTTCAGGTGATTTAGGGTGCAGCTCACAAGATTAAACAAAAAAGCACTCGTGATTCCACATGGACTCAACACGCCCCTGTTCAGGAATCAGTATCCAAAGCTGTGTTTCACAATCATTCAATTCTCCTTCAATTTCTCAAAATTATAGGAGTAATAAAATATTACAGCATTCAATGAGACAAATTAGAAAGGATTTTATCAGTATAGAAAAATAAATACAAAGATCCCATAACAAAACCAGTATCAGATAAGCCATTGAATGCGCAGGCAAAGTTGTTGAGAACTCGTATATTATCACCAAAGATTTACACGGTAATAAAACTCCATTGCACCTTTTATCCAGAAAATCTTCTCAGCGTGTGTTCACCTTCTAAACCTGCAACCTGCTCCACCAAACTGAACGTAGAGAAACCGGATCAGAGCAAGCTTAAGATGTGCATAAATTGAATTGTTTTCCCATATAACTGTTGCTTACTTCGGAGATTCGGAATCCGGTTGATTTTGAAAGCCTGCGGATGGATTCATGGAGAACTGATGTGAACTTGGAACCCCCTGTGGCTGTGCTGCCCCTGCTGGCAATGGAGACCCTTGGTAGCTTGCTGAAGTGCCTCCGGAACACATTCCTGCATAAAACGAGAGAAAGAGAAACCATTTAGTCCGTAACCGTGGCTTGGAAACAACGGTTTGTGGTCGGCCTTTTAATCCATGCAATCCAAGGATTTGCATATTACCTTGGAACATTATGACGAGACAAAATACAATGGTGAACAACATTGCAAACATGTTGCTGCTAGTGCTAGGAGATGTTGGTTTAGCGGCTTTCAATTTCTTCAAGGCTTTCATCCGTTCGATTCTCTCACGCTTCAACCTTGCGAGCTCCGCAATCTCCCTAATTAGTTTCTGGTCGGCCGCATCCAACGACGGGGCTCTCGGTGGCCTAGGAGGTTTCTTATGACCCAAGCTTTTACGTTTCTCCTTCACTGATTTGTTCTCCTTAGCATCTTTGCTCTGCTGTGTCTCCACATTCGCGCTCATCACCGAGCGCGAATTCTCTTGATAAACACTACCGGAATTCGAAGCATCACCGGACAAAGACACTCTATTATCCGACCCCTCAGCAAGACCACCTTCGAGCAACTGTTGTCCAACAGTTGTGACTCCATTTTCAAGGCCGAGTTCTAAATCTTTAAACCTAGAAGTCATTTCATCCAATGAAAACACGCTCCACAATCTCAATTCTCAGTCTAAAAAGCTCAAGAATCAACCCTATACAGAAATTGCTTCCCTCAGAGATAAAATTTGACACTTTAACTTGAAGAAGAAAAGATGGCAACTTTCCAGCTGTAAATTCACACAAGAACAGCTATCAACAATGCAATTTAACGTATAATACAAGCCTTGATATCAAACTATGCATCAATAAACATAATATATATATATATAACATCAACAGGTAACTCCCAAATTGCAAAAATGATCAAAAGCAACGAAACCCAGAAAACACACCAATCAAACCCAATATCCATCAATACCCAAAAACGAAAAAAAGCTTCACTGATCAAACAAAATACCTTTGAAAAGAAAACAAGAAGAACCCAGATCCGATGCTGATGAAAAACCCAGAAAACGAGTTCAAAAAGAATGTAACGTATAGATTTAAGAGATTTGGATTCAAAACACACAGAGAGAGAAGAAGGTGCGTAGGGAACTTGGAAAATGCTAGATTAAGTGGGAGATTAAACAAAATGTCTGGTAACTTCTTTTTCCCTGTAACCAAACAGAGAGAAAAGAGCAACCATTATTTTTTGTATTGTTGAGATTTAAATATAAACCGCACCGACACATGGCAGTCCCCGTCGGCGGACGCCCCCTTTGATTTCTCCATTTAATTCGCTTTCGTTGCCACCAATGCTTTTCTTTAGTCTTTTCTAATATCTCCATGTTCCGCACATTTTTGTGCCGTGTTTCATGAGTTTAATTGTGTATTTAATCCCTCTGCAATGCTGAGATTTGAATTTAGTTATTCTATTTTATTTTTCATGAAAAGAAGTAGTTTGAAGTTTTTTATTCCAACTCCAAATTAATATCAATTGAGATTTAAGGCTTCATTTTAATAGAAATTCTTCGTTATTATTCCACAATTTCAATTGATTAACCGATAAATCAATGTGATAATGAGCTAATTGTCCAACAAGATCCGCAATATCACTCTTAGTGATGACATTCAATTCAATCGCTAAACGAACACTGTCCGTAATAGTCCGAGCTTCAACCACACTTGCATAAGCGAAATTAGGGACAAGTACCACGTGACTAGCAATCAGATCGCATTCATCACAAGCAAGCACCCCGATCGATGTTGCAGTGGATTGTAAATCAACAAGCAATTGTTTGTAGTGAAGTGTAAATCAGCAAGCAACTGCATTCTTAAATATAGTTGACCAGTATGAAATATAAAAACTAAACTTTCAAATTATGAATATTATCGGATATTTATTTCGAATTTGGAGTGGGATTCGCTTAGGCTACAAATGAAGATCCATTGTGTGCTTTTTTTTTCAAGGTCTTATCATGCCTTTGGTCTCAGTATTTCATGAATTTTTAAAATTTAATCTATGTTCTTTTCATTTTGAAAATTCAGTCCACTTTATAACGTTTCAAGTATTTTATCCTATATACATTTATTACCACCGTTGATGATGGGCAGAGGCACGAGACAGATGAGGTTGCATGCATTTTTTTTCTTATAATTAATAAAAATATTTTAAATAGAATAATTTTATTTTTCGATAAATAACATAAGAGTAAATAAAATATGTAACAGATGAGTGATTTTATTATTCAGTAAATAACATAAAGAAACACAACTAAAATTGATGATAGCAGCTCCACTTGATGGCTTAGAGGCAAAAAGATAGCGATTAAGGTCATTCTCGTTGATCACGCCTTTGACGATCCTAAGTTTGTAGAATTGCGCCTGATATACAATCAACATTTTAATAACTTGCTTTTCTATGTCCATAAATCGTGAGCGAAAAATTGAAGTCGAAAAGGCTATACTGTCAATTCGGAGATGAACCGTGGCACGATACTCTCTTTGACCAAGGCCACGGCGCAACCACCCCACCCAGCTCCAGTCAACCTTGCTCCCAAGGCACCATTTTTTCGGCAAACTTTTACGAGTTCCTCCAACTCCGGGCAGCTACTTACACAGAAACGGAAAGATAACCATGTGAATTCACCATAAAAACAAAGTATAATCACAGTACATTGGAACGAGGAACGAGTGTAGCAAATGGATGCACTTAAGGATACTGTGATCATTGTACCTGCATTCATAGAGAACACTACAGCTGTAGTGGCTTTCGTTCATAAGATCGCCAAGCTTCTTAAGCTTTTCCTCCTCACTACAAGATGAATTATGAAATTATTCGAAATAGCAAATCGGATTTAACTGTCGTTTAAAGAAAAGAATAAGATGTTCAAAGTCGGTATCCCTTGAAAATAGGATGATAACTTATGGCAAACTATAGCTATTAAAGTCACCTGAAGTTTGAAACCACGGTATCCTTGAAAGCCGATTGGCTTCAGAGTACACATGAGCAGCTCTCTAAAAATTAGAATCAAGTAATAAATGAATACACTAACATATACGAATAAAATCTTAATTGTAATTGGTTATGATATTAATTCAAAACACAATTCTATTCAACTTCAGCCTGAGCGAAGTACCTGATGCAACTTGAAGCGCTTGGCCACTTTTAACACATCCAAAGATGTTGGATTATCACCCAAGATTGATGCAAGATCCTTCCCAGTGATTTTCTCGATTTCTTCAGCTGTATATGGCTCCACCTTCAAATATTCCTGCAGCAAAAGGTAAAAATATAGTTTCAAGCGGCGGAAGATAAATATTGGCGTCTGATACTTTTAACATAAAAAAATTAAACATAATACTGTGAAGGCAGAAAAAAAATGATAGAAACCTTGACAGCAAGTACAGGATCCTTAGAACTGCGAGCTTTGGCAAATTCAACACATAGCCCTTCAACATCAGAAAGAGTTTTGACTTTTGCCATTGCCTCTTGGGACTTCATTCCCAGTTTTATACCAAGCACAATCTGAGATTTCAACCAAAAAATGCACACTGTGAGTACACCAAAACAAAGACAGCATAAACATGATTGAACATACAGATAATGAAATGCAACTTACAGCAGCCAATAGACATTCAACAACTCTGTTATTATAATTTGTGGCAGCTGTAACAGTTTTTTGAGATTCAGCCAATGAATGGGCTATTACAAAGGTACCTCCAGTAGGGAGTTTCACATCAGTTGCACGAATAGGATTGAAATCAATTAGCTCAGCAAACCCATTTTTGGCCATCACAGAGATTGCCTATTATAACAGAACAAGTGGAGACAATTTTCAATGACAGCATAGTAAATCAATTTTGGTCGCTTGATAAACACATGATGACTAGGGAAAATCAAATTAAACAATGAGAAGGTAGAAAAAGTGTAACCTGGTCCATCCCACCAGACTGTGTTCCAATGTGCTGCTCACAGTCGCATGTAACTTGGGCAATTTCTTTCTGTTAACAGAACAGGTACTGGAATTTCAGATAATGAATTGCAAAGTTGTGGTTATCAAAATGACGATGGAATTAGCATACCTTTGGGAAATTAACATCAAAAGCAGCCATGATAGCAATTGTAGATGAGCAAACAAAAGCTGCGGAGCTTGATAAACCGGAGCCTAGAAAACAAATTGCACAATGAGAGTTATGTATTCCATAGGAGCATACAGCTGCCAGCATGTGAAAGTATACTTTTGTTCATTTAGAATCTAAGTCTCAGTTTACTTGTAAGTGATGTAAAAGAATACCTGTGGGAACTATTCCATCAAAAGAACATCAAGACCAACTGGCACACTGACATCCACTCCTTTTGACTTGGCATATTCATAATAACCTTTATACCTGCAGAATGTGAGAAATGCTAGAATCACCATTTTGGAGTTATCATAGAAACATAATTACAGTAAAATTCTTTTCCATTTTAAAAAAGAACATGCATATCTGGTGGAAAAGATAAGTAGTAACTTCAAATTAAAATAAGATAAAAAGGATCAAAAGAATTCAATATCTCACCCGCAAACGAAGTAGTGACCCCATTTGTGCTTCTTCAAGTCTATTGTCTGAAGAGTCAACCATGTCAGCTATTTTGACGCTAATTCCAAGTAATTCTTAAGACAAGGATCATAGAAAATAGAAAAAAATGATTTTTACAAGCAGGATCTAATGCTACCAGGAAAATGAAGCTACTAAATACATGAATCTCAGAAACATTTAGCAAATTACATAACCAATTCAATAATTGATGAAGAAAAAAGTAAAACCTGGTTAGGATCAGCAGGGTAAGTACAAGTAGTGTACTTATCATTGATATTAGCAATTTGGAGAACTTTTTCAGCCTCTTCTTTGTCGCGCTTTCTAATTGCCACAATGGTGTCTTGCCGGATCACCATCGGCAACACCGAGTATCCTTCATAGTCAATATGTTCTCCAATCAAGTTCACTCTCCCTGTATGTAAAAATAGCCATTAAATATCAGATATAAAAAATCAACAATGTTCACAATTAAAAGATCCAAAGAGAAAGAAAGTGAAACACCGCTGTCGCTGCTTTGTTTACTCAAAACTGTCCCTTTTTTCTTGAAAACTCTTAACGCAAATTCAAAGTAAACACCCTTGACCAAAAAACTAGATACGAGGAAAATTTTCTTTAACTCTTTGTTATAAGGTTCATATTTTAACAATTCAACCGTTGAATTTATCCATATAATTATACTAGCCATCCAATTCAACATCTCACAAACAAACAGAGAAAACCAAACCTGGAGATCGAGCGAAGACCTCAGGAGGGTGACCGAAAACTTCGAGGAACTTCGATTTCAAATTTTCGAATCGAAGCTTAGCTTCTTCAAGCTGAGGTCCTTCACCGTACACCGGTTCAAGTGAAGAGTAAATAGGAATTGGCAGCTCATCGTGGTCCATCACTGTTCTCTCTCTCTCTGGATCACCGCAACGTTTGTTTTGTTTTGTATTTCTTTCAACAATTACTCACTTTTGCTTTTTTAGAATTTGACTCGTCTCTATTCTATTTGTTTACTTAAAATTCTAAAATTTAAAGCCATATTTTTTATTCCTAACGGAACTAAAACAATCACTCTTGTTCGTAATAATATTACAGCT